ACGAGTGAACTGCTGGAGGCACCACTGAGCTCGTACACTTGCTGTTGGAGATGTTGGAGATGAAGGCGTCACGTCGGTCAGGCTTTCAAGGCGTACGGACAAGACTGTGAAATGCAATCCTCTGGGAAGGGCTAAATCTCACAACTGCAGAATTCAAAGATTCTGCTCAAACGACCCTCCTCAATATATTATTTATGAAATTCAAAAAATATTCTCACTTCTGTGTTGATAGACAGGAGAACTTCAATCTCTGTAGAGAAAAGACCTCAAAAGCCTTCAGTTTTCTGAACACCAGAACTCCACAAACTCTGAACACCACCTTGGCTGGAAGAAACTGGATTCACTGTTTAACTTTGGGCTCCAAGTGAAAATTTATACCTTCCTGGGAGAGGAGTGGGAAGAGATTTACGCCACTCGCCACAGGCATGGTTTAAAGGTGAGCGTGGAAAGCTTTGCCCGCAGGGTAGCACGAGCCTAAGCATCCCCCCTCTCAGGGGAAGGATGTACCCCGCTTGCCAAAGCAAGGGCAGATGAACTTAACTGCAAAGAAACCCAAGGACAGCGTTGGCTCTTACCTAGAGCCTCATCGTCATCAACTGTCTCACTGGCAAGGCGAAAGAGCAGTGGCCTGAGCTTCTCACAGCGTTGGAACAGCGTCTACGGAAGGAAACGTCTCACGTCATTGCTCAGGAGATCCCAGACACTCTCACACTTCTGTCCCTGTGACGACCTGTACGTGACGTGCCCTCCAGAAGAGGAAGATGCACTTTCTGCCCAGGTCCAGACAAAGGGTATCAATGCTGCGTGTTGCTGCGCTCTTAGAAACCCACGGTGGCCTGGAAGCACAGCCCCTGGAACAAGGAGGCTTTGCTGGCATCTCCTCAGCAACCACATCCTCTCTGGGCATACAGCGTAAGATAGATCAGTGTAAAATTACTCAATTTAAAAGAAAACGTACTGTGGCGCAAAGAGATGGATGACAGTACTCAGGGAAGCATGACCACTGCCAGACAAAGCAAAGCCGCTTGCTTGGAACGTCGTCCTGGAACACCTCTGGGTGCGAGGAGGCACGGACCAGCCGCTTTGTCGGCGCGCAAGGAGGGTCTGTGCCATCTACAGCAGCCACCCTCCCGACAGCAGCTAATCCCAAAACCTGCTGTCACCCGTAGCCACAGGAGAAGTTCTCACCTACAAAAACTCAGTTGTCTGAAGTTGTTTTTTTTTTTAATTTGAGAGTCTGGTGGAGTTTCAGGTATTTGAAGACCATAAAGCTATTCTGACAGCCCTATTAGTGACATCAAACGTTTCCTTAATTCACTGGTACTTATGAGCAGCAGCAGACCAGGAACTCTGAGCAGAAAAATGGGAATCACGGAAAATGTAGCACAAGCTGAAGAACCCACAGCTTTGAGCTTCTCTGGTCAGATCCCATCACACCCACCTAACCACGCCGGGCACAAGGGGATTCCCGCGTGTTGTGCCACTGTTGGAGGAAGAACCATTTCCCCGTGAGATACCACAAGAAGAGCAGCAAAACTGGACAGAAACTCAAACCAGCACAGCAGGAGATGCTTCCATTCCAACTTCCGTTACACTAGTGGATGGGACTATTATTCATCAAATATTTTGGAAAATATTTCTGCAGTGGTAACGCTCTTTCCGTGGCAGAAGCTGAGAGCACCGTGCTGCCCTTTGAATCCTGCTGCCCTGGGCCCTCCCAGCACAGCTGGACAAAAGAGCCTCTTATGCAGGAAGAAGAAGATTTACCTGGAGTGTCTCCTGGTCAGATCCGGATAATTCTTGTCTCTTGTAGTTTTCCAGTAATTCGTCCATACGTTTAACATTCTCAGAAACCTCACTGATGGTGGTTGCTCTTCTGGACACCTTAGCTGACTTTTCTTGTTCCTTTGATGAAAAATGAAATGCAAGTAGATGATGATTTGGTTAATACAGCCAGTGCATGTGCTTGGCTGGGTCACTCTGGACCACACTTGTCGGGGAGCTGCTTCCTACTGATGTCTTACGGCAGGCAGAGGCACAAGGCAGCGGTGGTAGGGACTCGCCCCCCAAGAGCTCCAGTGCCAGTGCTGCACCACACCTCCCTGCCACGGGTGCAGATGGAAACCTCCTGCCCTTCTCAGGGCAGCCTGCCCGGGCTGCTGGGGCAGTAGAATTCATCTCACCGCAGGCACGAGTAGGACTTCAAAATTAGAGATGGGAGTTGGTGGCTTCCGCCACAGAGAAGGGCACTCTCGGAACAGCCGCCGGGGTTTCATCAAACCGCGCCAAGCCTGCGTACGCGGGGAAGCGGGATGCCCTTTCGGATGGAAAGCGAGGACAGGCCAGATGTGCACGCACGCTCTGCGTGCAGAAAAGAGGCAGTTCTGTACAGATGTGGCCTTTCCCACCTGGGACTGAGTTTCTTTTTGGAAACTCCCCGTCACTAATGCAGTACCCTGCCAGGCAGACGCTAAGGTGGGACTGTCCCGCCACACAGGCTCCCCGGTGTACGTACTCCCTCTTCCTGACAATGGCATGTTTTAGGGAAACAAAACAAAACAAAACCATCCCGCACCGTAACTTGGGAATAAAGATTACTGAACATCATCCCTCCTCTGGGGAGGCGTTATGGAGATCAGGTCTAGAGGACCCACCATCAAAAAATGAATTGCCAAGCCCCCTCCCACCCCCCCGGCTGCAAACACACCTCCTGCCCCACGGAGCCGCCGGCTCTGCTCTTGCCTACCTCCTTAATCATGCTCTTGATCAGCCGGTTGGCAGCCTGCAGGTCCTCGGGGTGGTGGCTCTTCAAAAGCCTTGCCAAGAGCTGCGAGGGCAGAGCACAGACAGCCGTGAGCAGCAGTGTCCAGGCACTGGGCTCCAGGCACACACCACAGACGAGCAGCTATTGAGCGACTCCCACTCTCCTAACAGCTTCTATAATCCTGGAAATCTGTGGGCTCATGTCCCATAATCTAACCCAGATTATATTGCTGCCTTTTACAGCTGCCTGCACACGCTGTTTGGCTCCTTGGGAACAGGAATTCTCTAGCTCTGCGGAACTTCTGGAAAACCTGGAGAAACCCTCCCTCGGGAAAGTTTAATAGAGAGTGATGTTTTTCTGTAAAAATGTTTCACTTTTGACTAAGCAAAAATTTCTGACAGAGCATCAAAGAATTCTCCAGCTGCTGCGCAGCAAGAAGTACTACCATTATTCTGAGGATGTTCTGTCTGAAACGGCAAAAGCTCCCAAAATACAATTGAGCCTGTTTTCTCATCAGCACAAACCAGAGTGGGGGTAGGTAGGAAAATTTTAAAGTTTACCTTGGATTTCTCTTCATCTGTGTCAAAAATAGAATTCTGAGGTCTGGGGGAAGGGGGAGGTAAAATTTTGTCTTCTGGCACTTTGGGGTCTTCTTTTACAATCCCTGAAATGGGCAACAGTATCTGTTCAGTGATGCCTGAGCTGCTAACACACTAATGCTCAACACTGCATTGGGTTCTGCACCTAGTTCCTTCAGCCCTGCCCAGAATTTCACAGAGGGAGATGGGAGAAGCAAGGAGTTGCCTTAGCACACACCCGACAAAAGACTTCCCTTCGTGCCCTGAATTAAGCACTGGCCAAATGAGATTTTCAGGGCAGAAAATAAAATTCAGACGTTCTGGGCTCCCTCTGGGTCAACTGCTAAAATCCCCCGGAGCAAGAGCACCCGGCACACACCAGCCCCGACCCCGTGCACGCGGCATTGCCACAACCAGTGCACCAAACCAGCCCGGCCCAGTGCCACGGGAGCCTTTGGCGCCAGCGGGCTCCCATGGACGTCTCCCCTCCTGCCC